TGAGTTGGAGTCTCACTCTGTCACCCAGACTGGAGTGCAGTGGCCACTCCCAGCAACCGCAGTCTTGACCTGCTGGGCCCTGGCGATCCTTCCGCTTCAGCCTTCCAAGTAGCTGGAACTACAGACACGCGCTACCACACCCAGCCAATTTTTGATTTATTGTAGAGATGAAGTCTCGCCAAGTTGCCCAGGTGGGTCCCGAACTCCGGGCTCAGGCAATCCACTCACCTCAGCCTCCCAAGGCACAGGATTACAGGCTGAGCCCAGCTGGTCTTAAAATTTTTAAGGCTTGTTTTATGACCTAACATACGATCTATCCCAGAGAACGTTTTGTGTTTACTTGAGAAGAATAGTATTCTGCTGCTGTAAGGTGACATGTTTTATACATGTCTGTTAGGTCCATTTGTTTAAGTCAGCTGTTTTCTTACTGAATTTTTGCCTATATGTCCTGTCCATTATTGTTAGTCGGTTATGAAAGTCTCCTATTATTATTGTACTAGTGTCAGTTTCTCCTTTCAGATCAGTGTTTTTTAAAAATATATATATATTTACATGCTCTGATGTTGGGTGTATAGATCTTTATCACTCTTGTATCTTCCTGTTAAGTTGACCCTTTAATCATTAACTAATGATCGTCTTTGTTTGTAATGACAGTTTTTATTTACTCTATTCTAATATATATAGTTGCCTCTGCTTTATAAGGGATGCTATCAACAATTGGGTATCAATAAAAGAGATAATTTAGATTAAGTTAACAAATTACAAAAAAGACAACTACCAAAGCTGACTCAAGGTAAAATATAACATCTGAATAGATCTATAACAAGTAAAAAAGTGGAATTATAATTTTAAAATACCCACAAAGAAAAACCCCAACTCAGATGGCTTCATTGGTATATTCTACCAAACAATTACAATTGTATTTCCTTCTTCTTATATTTATACAATTTATTTAACTTTTGCCTCAATAAAATTTTCAGAATCTGCAAGAAGATGTTGCAAATTAGCAGAGCAGCCAGTCAGTATTTTGGTCTTTTTTCCCCAAGCCTTAATGAAAGTGCTAGATCTGTTTCATTATTGTCTTGTGCTGTTTTCTAATAAATATTCTTTATGAGATGAAGGATTTTTTTTTCTCTATTACTGGATTTGATAATACTATAACCAAAAATAGATGTTGCACTTTATGAAATTCATTCTGGGAAATTACCTCTGTGATCCTGTGGATTTTCCCCTCTATTCTAAGAACTACATTAACAAGTTGCCTGTTTATGAACTATCTTTACATTTCTGGGACAACCCTAACTTGGTTTTGAAATACAACTTTTTAAAATTCCACTTTCTGTACAGTGTTTAGGATTTTTTGTATAACGTTCTTATTTAGACTGGCACACATGGACCTCTCTTCCACCACCTTTCTCATTGTGTTGAATGCAATACCATAAACCTCGAATAACACCATGGGACTCAGACAAAGTTCCACTCATGACGCTGGAAGTGCTTTCCAAAATAAAAGAAAAAAAACATTTGTGAAGCTGTCATTGCAGCTATGTCAGTAGGCGTGGAAACCTTGCACTTTTTGCAAAATACTTTTTTCATCCTGCATTGAAAGTGTAACATTTATGTGGGTACAGGATTGCTACAAGAAAGGGATACCTATAAACTTTAATATGAGTCAAGAAAGAACAAAGTCATTATTTGACACTTCAAGTTAAAAGGCAGGTGAAGGAAGTTTTTATACCAGATTTACATAATTTTCTCCATGCTTCTCATGATAATCTTCTTCACAATTTTCTATTATCACAGCTTTAAAGATTAGGGATTTTCTGTTCATTGAAGATGTGAGAAAACGTGCCGGTAGTGACCACTCCAGGAAAAGTTTGTATCCTTTCCTCATTCCATCTAGCTTTTTCCATGAAATGTTAATACAACAAAACAACAGAAACTCAGGGACAGAAATAAGAACAAAAACTCTAAATGTCGTATCGCTGGAATCTTAAGGAACAGAATACCTATTTGGTGAAATACATATACAGTACAGTTGATCCTTGAACAACATGAATTTTAACTGTATGGGTCCACTTACATGGAAATTTTTAAAATAAATATATTGAAAGAATTTTGTGGAGATTTGCTATAATTTGAAAAAACTTGCAGACAAACTGCATAGCCTAGAAGTAGCAAAAAAAGATTAAGAGAAAGTTAGGTGTATCATGAACGCATAAGATATATGTAGACACTAGTCTGTTTTATCATTTACTACCATAAAATATGCACAGATTTATTATGAAAATTTAAAATTTATCAAAACACATGCACAAACACAGTACATGTGCCATTTGCAGTCATGTAAAATGTAAACAAATGTAAAAATGCAGTATTAAATCATCACTGCATAAAATTAACAGTATGTAGTACATACTATATTACATTACTGTAACAATTTCATAGCCACCTGTTGCTGAGCATAAATGTTGTGAGTATCTGCTTAAACTGTCAGGTAATGTGAATTATCTCCATGTAAGCAGTTCCTCTCTACAGTGAAGCATGTGTTATGGTAAGAAGAGCCCTCTCACAATCCTTGTATATTTCTCATAGTTTTGAGGGAAATACTGTAAACCTTGAATGGGACCCATACAAAGTTCCATTCGTGATGCTGGAAGTGCTTCCAAGAAGTAAAGAAAAGTCACGACACTGCAAGAAAAAGTTAAATTGTTTGACATGTATATAGATTGAGGTCTGCAGTTGTGGGTGCCACCATTTCAAGATAAATGAATCCAGCATAAGGACTATTGGAAGGAAGGAAGGAAGGAAGGAAGGAAGGAAGGAAGGAAGGAAGGAAGGAAGGAAGGACATTTTGAAGCTGTTGTTGCAGCTATGCCAGTAGGCATGAAAACCTTGCACTTCTTACAAAATACTTTTCTCATCTTTCATTCGAAATGCAGCGTTTATATGGGTGCAGGATTACTACAAGAAAGACATACCTATAGACTTTAATATGATTCAAGAAAGAACGAAGTCATTATATGACAACTTAAAGCAGAAAGCAGGTGAAGGACCTAAAACTGAAGAGTTTAATGCCAGCAAAGGATTGTTTGATAATTTTACAAAGAGGCTGGCCTTTATCAAAAAAAGATAGTAGGAGAAGCAGCTTTACTGACCAAGAAGCAGCAGATGAGTTCTCAGACACCATGAAGACACTCATGGAGGAGAAAGGCAATCTGCCTGAACAGAGTTTTAATGCAAAGGAAAGTGTCTTATCCTGGAAAATAAAAGCCACCAAGGACATTTATTAGTAAAGAAGAGAAATGAACACCGAGATTTAAGGCAGGAAGGGATAGACTAATGCTACTGTTTAATGCAAATGCAACTGGGTTTTTGGTCAGGATTGCCCTTGTCTGTAAATCTGCTAACCCCTTGAAAGGAAAAGATCAACACCAGCTGCCAGACTTTTAATTGTACAACAAAAAAGCCTGGTGGACAACAAGAACCTTTTTCTGGTTTGGGTCCATGGATGTTTCCTTCCTTAAGTTAGGAAGTACCTTGCCAATAAGGAACTGCCTTTTAAAGTTCTTTTGATATTGGAAAATGCCCTTAGCCACCAGAACCTCATGGGTTCAAAACCAAAGTCATCATAGTGGTCTACTTGTCCCCAAACACAATGTCTCTAATTCAACCTCTAGATCTGGGAGTCATAAGGACCTTTAGGGCTCATTACACATGATACTCTATGGAAAGGATTATAAATGCTATGGAAGAGAACCCCAATAGAGAGAACATCATGAAAATCTGGAAGAATTATACCATTGAAGATGCCATTGTTGTTACAGAAAAGCCCACAAAAGCCATAAAGCCCAAAACAATAAATTCTTGTTGGAGAAGACCATGACCAGATGTTGTGCATGACCTTACAGGATTTACGACAGAATCAGTCAAGGAAATCACATAAGACATTGTGAATATGGGGGGGGAAAGGTAAGGGATGAAGGGTTTCAAGATCTTAGAGAAATTCAAGGGCTAATGGACACCACACTAGAGGAATTAACAGAAGACTTGAAGGAGATAAGTGCTTCCAAGCAGTGCCAGACCATGAGAAAGAAGACATAGAAGAGGTGGGACCAGGAAGAAAATGGACATTAGATAATCTGGCAGAAGGGTTCCCATTATTCAATAATGTTTTTTGACTTCTTTTACCACATGAACCCTTCTGTGATACGGGCACCGAAACTAAAGCAAATGGTGGAAGGAGTGATACCATATAGAAACATTTTTAGAGAACTAAAAAAAGCAGAAAGTCAGAAATTATGAGTATGTCCATGTCTCCTGCCTCCCTCCATCTGATCTACCTCTTCCTTCTCTGTCATTCCTTAGACAACCCAACCCTTCCTCTTGCTCTTCCCCCTCTACCTCAGCCTACTCAATGTGAAGACCATGAGGATGAAGACCTTTATGATGATCCACTTCCACTTAATGAATAGTGAATGTATTTTCTCTTCCTTATGACTTTCTTAATAACATTTTTTTTCTCTAACTTACTTTATTGTAAGCATACAGTATATGGTAGGTATAATATTCAGAATATGTGCTAATTGATTGTTTATGCTATCAGTAAGGCTTCTGGTCAACAGTAGGCTATTGGTAGCTAAGTTTTGGAGAGTCAAAAGTTATACATGGATTTTCAACCCCGCAAAGGGTTGATTCTCCTAATCTCTGAATTGTTCAAGGGTCAGCTGCATTTCTATATACTATTTGTCAGTATTTTTAAAGGTTAAAATTTAATATTGTAAAATACTTAAATTATATACATTTTAAGCAAATGGATGATATATTAATATCCATTTAATCTTGTATTTTAAAAGTAATTTCAACTTTGCAAGAGATTTTCATTTCAATGATCTCCTGGATTCAGAGTAAATGTAGCTTCAATGGTAATATCTACAAAATGATTTATGTGTATTGTCATTCAACAAACACTTATTCATTTCATTTGTCCCTATCTTCAGTGCACCCTGATGTCCTAATTTTCACTCACACATGATGAAGAAAAGAGATCAGAGAAAGTATTAACTTGCATAAGTTATCACCTATTCAGGTGGAATCTCGGCCAGAGCCCATAAGTATGAAAGTACTCTAGTGTGGTCCATGTGTAAGAAGCAACCGTTGAGATGACTGCCAGCCGGGTTGCAGAGAGTCTTTTGGCTTTGAGCCAACAGGAAGAACTGGTGGATTTGCCAAAAAACCACCCCTTGAGTGTCAGTGAAGATGAGGAGGACAGTGATAGAGAGAGAAAGCATCAAAAGCTTCTGGAAGCAATCAGTTCCCTTGATGGAAAGAATAGGCGCAAAGTGGCTGAGAGATCTGAGGCCGGTCTGAAGGTGTCAGAGTTCAATGTCAGTTCTGAAGGATCAGGAGAAAAGCTGGTCCTTGCAGATCTGCTGGAACCTGCTAAAACTTCATCCTCACCCTCATTGGCCACTGTGAAAAAGCAACTGAACAGAGTCAAATCAAAGAAGACTGTGAGGTTACCCCTTCACAAAGAAGAAGTTGAACGGATCCTCAGAGAATTAGCATTCAATAAGACCTCGCAAGTCCTTTCCAAATGGGATCCTATTGTCCTGAAGAACCGGCAAGCAAACCAGTTGGTTTTTCCCCTAGAAAAGGAGCAATCAGCCTTTGCTCCCATTGAACATGTACTCAGCGGCTGGACGGCAAGAACTCTGCTGGAGCAGAAAGTTTTTAACCTCCTCCATAAAAATAAGCAGCCAGTGACAGACCATTTTCTGACTCCAATGGAAAAGGCCTCTCTCAAAGCCATGAGTCTAGAAGAGGCAAAGATGCACCAAGCAGAGCTTCAGAGGGCCCGGGCTTTGCAGTCCTACTACGAGGCCAGGGCTCAAAGAGAAAAGAAAATCAAAAGCAAAAAGTATCACAAAATTGTGAAGAAAGAAAAGGCCAAGAAAGCCCTAAAAGCTTTTGAGCAGCTGGGGAAGGTCAACCCAACTGTGGCATTGGAAAAACTTGAAAAGGCCAGAATAATGGAGCGAATGAGCCTGAAGCACCAGAACAGTGGGAAATGGGCCAAGTCAAAGGTAATTATGGCCAAATATGACCTGGAGGCTCACCAGGCTATGCAGGAACAATTGTCTAAGAACAAAGAATTGATGCAGAAACTCCAGATAGCTTTGGAGAGTGAGGAAGAAGAGAGAGGCCCAGAAGAAGTGGAGGAACTCCTTATCCCTGGTGTGGTGAATAAAGTTCAGATGAATGCAGATGGACCAAATCCCTGGATGCTCAGTAGTTGCACCCAGGATTCAAGGGAGGCCGAGACCCATGAGGACCTTGAGGAACTGCCAGAGCCTGTGGCCCACGAGGTTTCTGAAAGTGAGGTAGATGAAGGACCAGTGGCAGAGGAGGAAATTTTGTTGAAAGAATTTGAGGAATGGCGATCCCTTAGAAGAAGGTCTGAGCTCAGCCAAGATGCTGAACTAGTGGGCAGTCAAGAAACAAAGGAGTCTAGCAGCCAGGAGAAGCTCTCCGAATTGAGGGCACCGTCTCAGAGATTTAAGGAAAACCATCAATCCTGGAAGCCAAAAGCAAGTCCAACAGGGACTGTTCCTCAGGCTCACAGAGAGGAACCTTCCCTGGAAGAAGAGGAACCCCTGTTGCTGCAGAGACCAAAGAGAGTACAGACCCTGGAAGAGCTAGAAGAGCTAGAGAAAGAAGAATGTTCTCAAAGTCAGGAGTTTTTCAGACCTGGGTTAGAAGGGCAGCAGTTGGAGAGGAACCCAAATAATCTGTCTAATGCCCCTAAGGAGAAGAAAAAGAAGGAGCAAATGCTTGACCTGCAGAACCTCCTAACCACAAAATCCCCTTCTGTGAGGTCTCTGGCAGTTCCCACAACTCTAAAGGAGGTGGACGATGAAGAGGAGAGAGACCAAAAGCAGATGATAAAGGAAGCTTTTGCTGGAGATGATGTCATCAAAGACTTTTTGAAAGAGAAGAGGGACACTATAGAGGCAAGTAAATCAAAAGACATGGACCTGACGCTACCTGGCTGGGGCAAATGGGGTGGTATGGGCCTGAAGCCCAGTGCCAAGAAAAGACGACATTTTCTCATTAAAGCCCCAGGTCCTCCAAGAAAAGACAAGAATTTTCCAAATGTGATTATCAATGAGAAGCGTAACATCCACGCAGCGGCCCATCAGGTACAGGTGCTTCCATATCCATTCACCCATCATTCACAATTTGAAAGGACCGTCCAGACCCCTATAGGATCTACGTGGAACACCCAGAGGGCCTTCCAAAAGCTGACTACGCCCAAGGTTGTCACCAAGCCAGGCCATATCATTAAGCCCATAAAAGCAGAGGATGTGGGCTACTGGTCTTCCTCAAGGTCAGACCTCTCTGTCATGCAGAGGTATCCAAAACAACTCTCCATGAGTCACAAAAAACAACTGAAGAAGAACTCTGTGGATTGAGGGGACTGGAAGAGTGATATCTTGATGCCCGGGATTGGGAGCTGTAATTGCTCCTTCTTTGGCCCAGTTTTACTCTGCTACAGGATGGATTCCAAAGCAGGCTTAGCCATACTGGGTGTAGTTAAGCCACATTTTAAAAATAAAGGTATTTTTATCTATCTAGAAAAAATGTACCCTGGTTTTCTTATTTGGAGCAGGACTATCCTAATCATCCTATAACAAAGAAGCAGAAGTAGGAGAAATAGTCCTCCAAACCTACTGGTCAGTTTCATAAGGGGCATCAGCCTAGGACTGGCTGTTTCACAGAGTATAAAGGGGAGGGCTGAGTGTTGACACAGCATTTGATTCCATAAGGCCTATGTCGCAGGGCAGTTGGGAAATTAACTTTACCTAGATGTGGCCAAGCTGCCGCCTCCTTCTGGACTTCCTTTTTTGCTGTCTGTAATAGGGGACCAGACACTTAGAGCATGGCATTAGGATCTAGGCAGGCTGTAAGCCTCAAGGGCAGGGAATGTTTCTTTTAAATGTCCTGCTTATTTCTCTTCCTCTTCTCTCTGCCACGACATCATAGACAATGCTTTCTGGGCTGACCTGATATTGAAGGTATTTTTCCTGGTCTTTCCAAGATCCTAGTAAGATATTTATATGTCAACTTGAGAAATTGATACCTTTTGCCTTTGAGAGTCCATGGGAGCATTTCCATGTATTATCAGCAAGTTGATTGTGTGTGTTCTACCATTGTCTTTGAATTCCCTGCCCTAAAACATGTACTCTAACACAGAGTATTAATCATCAGTGTAAAATTTACTGGTAATTTCATAGGAAGAGAAAACATGGCTTACACTGTACCACTTTTAAGTAACTCATGACATCCCTTTAGTAAATTTCTCTCTCCCATAAAGTCCGTTACAGGCTGCACCACTCATGGACACCGCCTTCCCTTCTCACTTGATGGGTTCTCTATGCAGGGCTTTTGATGGACCCTGCCTTTTCTGCTTCTGGACCTTCTCTTGCTCAGAAGCAGGACCCTCCCAGCCCTCCCCATTCTCCCAGCCCTCTGTCAACACACTTCACTTTTATATGCAGAGCAATTTCTCTTTTCCTCAGCTCTGGCAAACCAGAATGCCTATCCCCAGATCCTCTGCAAACAAGCTTGTCTCTATTACAGGGAACTACCCTAAACCGCAGTGAGGAAAACTCTGATCTGTAAATTAAATAGAAATGTTTTACACTGGGAAAATTATTTAAATGCTTTGTGTCTCAGTTTCCTCATAAGGAAACTGGAATAACAACAACAACAACAACAACATAAAGTTGAGTTAATTATGGAAAACTCTTACAGTAATGACCAGCATAGAGAATGATGGATGTTAGCTATTATTAGTAGTATAAAATAGGAAAGGATGATTAGTAGTGACAAAAATTCTTATCAAAATGTCTCACCTAAGGCTGGGCGTGGTGGCTCAAACCTGTAATCCCAGCACTTTGGGAGGCCAAGATGAGAGGATTGCCTGAGCCCAGGGGTTCGAGACCAGCCTGGACAACTTGGTGAGCTCTCATCTCTACAATATATATTAAAAAGTTAGCTGGGCCTGGTAGCACACGCCTGTAGTTCTGGCTACTTGGAAGGCTGAGGTGAAAATCCCAGCAGGCCAACACTAGGGTGGCCAGGAGTGTGCCACTGCACTCCCGCCTGGGCAATTAAGTGAGACTCCAACTCAAAAAAAAAAAGTCTCACCCAAAAGAGTACTTTAATAACATTTTTCTGTAGTCTATTCAATTAATAGCAATAAACTCTATGTGGAAAGATCTATTTAAACGATCTTGTATGTGTTTTCTGCAAATGACAAAGTTCAATGGGAAACTATACAGACTGGTAGACCTGAATTGGACTCGTGGCTCTGTCACTTACAAAGTGTGTGATCTTACACAAGTTACATAACTCCTTTGAGTCTCCATTACTTCTTCTATGAACTGGAGTTTTGTGGTTGTATGTGTCAATTAACCTAAGAGAAGTATGCATGGAACCCAATAAAGAGATGTGAAAGAACAGATAGGCAATAAAGGAGTGGTTATTATTGATCAGTACATAAAAAATTGTCTGTCCTGCAGGTATTGCTTCAAGTAATACAATTTTTGAACAATTTCTCTTGTGTTTTTTCTGTTTTTTTAACCTTGAACAGTGTTTAGCATGTTGGAAGCATGACTGGAATGATAGAAAAATGGACAAAAGTTGTCTGACATGTTACTTTCTTTTGGGTGATGTTGGGAGTGTTCCTTTGGATTGTGAGAGTGGAGACCAGACTTGAGGACATGTTTTGGTGTGTGACACTCCTGACAGAAGTCATCCTGGTCTGGGCCAGCCTCCAAAAGCCGCTGCCGACTCCACCAGAGGGCGCTCTAAGACCACACACTACTGAGTCTTGATGCTAGACCTCTTAGGCAAAGACCAGCTTCTGCCAGCACAGTGCCTTCCATGTGGAGTCCCACCACTAAGTGTCCTCTGTGTGCATTCTTCCTTTAGGTACTGCGAGGCCACAAGAGTTCTGACTGGGCGAATCGCCAAGTCTGCTTCAACTATAGCCTCCCTGGGGGTGGCTGATGCCTGCAGCCAAGCAGAGCCACCCAAACTCAGACTCCAAGAAGAAACCAGGGAACCACTTCTCACCCATGTCTAGCTGGACTCCACGCTCCTCTTTCTGCCTTCATGCCTGTCACCTAGCTTTCTTCTCTTCCTTCTCTGTTCCCTTCCCTTGTCTAGATATATCGGCCACAAGAAACCAGGGCTTCCTGGCCTCAGATGCCTCTAGGCAAGAATAACCAAATCCTCCTGCTGGCCCCTTGAACTATCTGCTCCCCAGACACTGACACACAGACACACACACACATGCATGCCTGCCAATGCCTCCACGTGGTGAGTGTGTGGAAAGGGGTCCTATAGGCAGCAGCCCTGGGAGGCAGCTGTAGTCCTCCCCTCAGCATGAGCCCCCAGTCCCTATTGCACCTTCAGGGAGTGCATTTATTCCCATGCAGTAAAGGTATGCTGTCTGCACAAAGCATTTCCCTGGACCTGAGGAGTCTCCTGTGGGTAAATCGAGTTTCCACAGGTGTTGGAAGAACAAGGCAAGAAACTCCAAAGCCACCACTGGCCACCATGTATGAGAAGATGCTTGACTTTCAGAAACCCCAACACTCTGCTGCCCAAGGCCCAGCAGGAAGGCTTTTCCAGGCTTATGTGGTGATTTCTATGGATGGAGTCTGGGTGAGCAGACTGAGTACAAAATAGCCCTGTTTAAACAGAAAAAAAAATGTCCTGATAATACCTTTCTAAAGGTGCTCACTCCTAACTATTTCTTTGGACTTCTTAACACTGTTAAGGCACAAACTTCCCCAAGGGGCGACCTGGTCCCAGCTTCCCCTCTGCTCCCCATCAAGGAAGGCAAGAAGCCATCACAGTTGTTACCTCTTTCCCCCTCTTTCTTTGCTGCTTTTATTTATTTATTTATTTAAGTCAGGTCTCACTCTGTCACCCAGGCTAGAGTGCAGTGGCATGATTATGGCTTACTACAGCCTTAACTTTCTGAGCTCAGGTGATCCTCCTGCCTCAGCCTCCTGAGTAACTGGGACTACAGGCATGTGTCACCATGCCTGGCTTTATTTATTTATTTGTTTTATTTATTTATTTATTTATTTTTGTAGAGACAAGATCTCGCTATGTTGCCCAGGCCGATCTCAAACTCCTGGCCTAAAATTATCCTCTCACCTCAGCTTCCTAAAGTGCTGGGATTATAGGCATGAGCCACTGCACCTAGCCTGCTGTGCTCTGTTGATGGCTTTTACCATGAGCTTTCTCTGAAGTTCTGGTCTAAATAACCAAGAGACTTGTACTATACTGTTCCACTAGCTCAGGCCAGTTTCTGTTGTGGTTCAGAACTATGTTCCCTACAGTTCACTATGAAAAAGCCAGGCTTTTAATCAATTTTCCCCAGCTGATAACCTCAGTTTTTCCTATAACTGATGTAAGGCCTACAACTTATTCAAAAAAAAATAAGAGAGTTACAAAATAGGACATGGAGAAAGACCACTTGAAGATCATCTGAGACCAAGGCTGTCATTTATAGAAGGGGAAGATGAGGCCAGAGAAGAGACGTGACTTGCCCAAGGTCACACAGCTGGTTAGTGGAATATTCTGGGCTGAAATCCAGTTATCTTGACTGTTAAGTGAAGACAGTCCTCTTCACCCTCAGTTTATTTATTTGTTTGTTTATTTTGAGTCAAGGTCTCACACTGTCTCCCAGGCTGGAGTACAGTGGCACAATCACAGCTCAGTGCAGCCTCAACCTCCTGGGTTCAGGTGATCCTTCTGCCTCACCTCCTGAGTAGTTGGGACTACAGGCACGTACCACCATAACCAGCTAATTTTTTATTTTTGTAGAAATTAGGTCTAGCTATGTTGCCCAGGCTGGTCTTGGATTCCTAGGCTCAAGTGATCCTCCCACATCAGCCTCCCAAAGTGCTGGAATTATAGGCATAAGCCACAACACTTGGCCCACCCTCAGTTTAAAGGGTTGCATAGGACCCAGATTTTTTCCCCTCCAAGGTGATAAAGTCTGAATGTCTCTATTGTGAATGTTGGTGAGGGGACAAAGCCTTGAGAGCAGGTACAATGTCTTTGACATTCATAACTGTACTTGGCAAGTAAGCACTAAAAATACGTCTTGGCTAAAAGGATGGAATGGGCATGAACAGAGAGACGGGAGTGGCCACAGGCACAAGATCATCCATGACTCAAGACTTAGCAAAAACAGACACATCAGGGACACTCAGGTATCAGGAGTGCGTCTGTCTACTGAGTGAATCCTGAGAGAGGGACGAGAGTGTCTGTGCACAGGTGAGGCTTGTGAGCACTGGGCATGCTGAGAATGCAGTCTGTGATGCCAAGGTTGGACTTTACTTCCTTGGGCTCCATTTCCTTGCCTTCCAACATGAAGTTTCTAGAGTAGATTTCTAGGGATGATCCCATATCTTTCAGACCACAGGCTTCAAGGTCTTGTGCTGATGAGTCCTCCTGGAATTGGCAGTAGGTAGAATGCCCACCTGTCTTCCTCCACATCCACTCCCAGCCCCGGCCCTAGTTCTCACTCTCCTTTGTCCATGAGCAGTGCATTC